ATTTTGAAATAGTTCTTCCTGGAATAAATCTGCCATCTTTTCATCTCTTTTGCATATTTTGTTCAGTGTATTGTTTCCATTTTCTTTTTTGGTTGTACTTAGTCATGCAATATTTTCCCTTCCAAGTCGTAGAGCATCCTCATTCTTGGTTTAAATTTGCCTTTGATTTCTTGGATCTTGTTCTTCCTTTTTTAGTCAAATTCAGTTTCTCTGCACTAATTATTATGGTAGTTCAAGTATACCACTAAAGTATACTAGTTGAAGTATATTGTTAAAAATTAAAGATAAGTTTCAGTATGGGTTTATTTCACAAAAATGCAGTAGAACTTCATTATCATAGTCTTGGTTGTCTCTTGCAAGAGTGGGAATAATACAGGTCTGCAGGTATTGTTGGACTCTCATATCCCTGGGCAGCATATCTGATGGTGAAGAGTGCTGGGAATTGCAATAAAAAAAATCTCTAGAGGCACACCATTCTTGCTCTTTATCTAGAGATAATGCATGTTATGCATATCAATGTCATGGAAATTATTTCCACTCTGGTGAGTAATAATTGTGAACTGAGAGTACAGTGCAGGGTTTACAACGTAACTGTTAATATAAAACAACACTTCTTGTGGGAATGCTCATCTATGGGTTTTAATTTAGAGATCTTTGATCTAATTTTATCAAGAAATTTTATTCCCAGATAAATAAATTCCAGTTTCCTTATAAACTTTCTTTGAGGACAACACTGCAAATGTGGGTCTCATTCAGTATAGAATCGCATATCATCCTTCTGTATCCACAGATTCTACCATCAATGGTCTGAAATAAAAATCGTCATCATCATCATTCCAAAAAGTAAACTCGAAGTTTTATATAAAAGATACCATTTTATTACACCATCGCATGTCATGGAACTTGAACATCTACAGATTTTGGTCTCCATGACAGGCTCCTGAAATCAAATGCCAAGTGATACCTAGAGCCCACTGTATACTCTTGTGACTATTTTAACAGGAAACGTCATTTACACTTTTAATGCATAGGCTTGGTTTGTTGAAAGTTGGTTCTGCAACTATCTCCAATACAAGTTGGATCACAGCATAGCAAACAAGGGCTGGAATCTTGCTGATGCATTATGTTAACTACACCAGTGATGGTGGCAGAAGGAAAGACTACAGACACAATGACCATGAAGAAAGTCAGACATTGGAGAAGTAGGCTACCCAGAGCTGGCAGGCTTTGTTTTGCCTTTCTGCTCCAGTGTTACTCAGCTGTAGATTTTGGCCAAATTATGAATTCACTGTATACATCGTATCAGAACCCAGATTGTAATACAAGGATGAGTTACTTTCCCATTGGTTTAGGACTCTAATTCCCATAAACCCCTGTCAGTATGACCAATAATGAGGGATGAAAGATCTGTAGTCAGCTAGCAACTGGAAGGTCACACATTCTTCATCCCTGTTTTAATCCAACCTTTAGTCTACTCAGCAGCTTAATTTCTCCCAATGCAAGGCCAGTTTATACACAATTGTATGGTTGGATTTTGTATGGAATTCAGATGTTCTTGTGCTGACACTGAGTCTACTATCAGAGCCAGTTCCCATGAACTTGTCTTACAACCAGTCAGGCAACTGGGTTGCTGTGAGGTTTCCAGGATGTATGGCCATGTCCCAGAATCATTGTCTTCTGATGGTTCACCCACATGTATCTCAGGCATCCTCAGAGGTTGTGAGGTCTGTTGGAAACTAGGCAAGTGAGGTTTATATATCTGTGGAATGTCCAGGGTGGGAGAAAGAAATCTACTCTTCTTGAGGCAAGTGTGACTGTTGCAATTGGCCACCTTGATTAGCATTGAACAGTCTTGCAGAAGACTTGCAGGAGGCAACTGCTTTGGTGTACTAAGAAAGACTAGTGATGTTGCATGCAAAATAGCAACCAGTGTTGTTTTGTTTGATCTTGGAAGCTATGTAGAGTCAGCCTTAGTTAATATTTGGATGGAGGATCACCAATGTATATCAGGTGCTAAAGGCTATATATCATAGGAAGAAACTAGCAGAACTACCAGTTGGTCCTCTGTATCCACAGATTCAGCATCCAATGATGCTGAATCCATGTCTTGAAAATATCCCTCTCCCCCTCCCCCAAATCTAAAAAGCAAACATCAATTTTGCAATTTTAGTACAGCATTGTATATAATCTGACTTGAGCATTCACAGATTTTGGTATCAACAGTGGGACCTGGAACCAAACCCCAGTGGATACCAAGAGCCCACTGTACTCGCCAATGGAAATATATGATAATCTCTATGAATTTCATGTGATCACCATGCATTTATAGGCAGCTTGAAGGTACATACACAGATCTGTGCACAATAGTTTGTGGTCCAGTTCATTAAAGAATATAGAACTATTAGGGCACAAAAAGGCATCAACTGTGGGCATTGTGGTTGTAAGAAATGATTCTTCTCACTGGGCCAGATTATTTATTTATTTGTTTGGTCTGGATTTTGCAGCCTCGGTTCTTGCTGAATGCATTAATCCTTGGATATGTGATCTACCAACAAAACTGAATAAAATCCTAAAATCCTCCTTAGCTGAGACAAAATTTGAATAACACCCCTTTCCCCACCGAAAATCCAAAAGGGTAGTGCTATCTAAAAGGTACTTTTTGACGTAAAAAAACCTACCATGGTTCCCCATGGGCTTTCTTGGTGTTTTGTAATTATTGTAATTCCGAGAAGCTGCTGTGTTGCAACAGGATCCCTCTCCATCGCCTCCCTCCCCTCTCCCTCTTTTTTGGCTTCGTTGCCAGGTTTTACAACTACTATTGTTACGATTGGTTGAAATGTGTGGTACCACCGTCTACTGCTGAGGCTGCGAACCAACCCCCTTTTCCCTTCCGGGAAGAAAGCTGATGGAGAGGGGAGGAATAATACTCTCCACCGCCACCATTCAGATAAGCTTGCTTATTTTTCCACTCTCTTTTTTGAGCCATAAACGGAGTTGGAAGCATTTATACATCAGCTTTTGAATTGCTTCCTGACTGTGGGCCAGTTAAAGCACTAGCCCAGTTAAAGCGGAAGCATGGGTCAGTGTGTCCTGACCAGCTCTCTAGTAACAAAAGTGAAAACCTTTGTGCTGAGAATTTTTCTTAGAAAGGAAGCCTTTTGTAATTTGTATGGTCTCTGTATAGACATGCTGTCAGACAAGAAGAAATCCATTTCTCACACACCAAACAGAGACTGGAGTGGGATGAACGAGCAGGGTCCATTAATGGCATACTTTTACATTTTTTCTTGCATTTGGGGGGGGGGGTTCTAATATTTAGAGTTTATATTAATTATTCTATTGTTTTCATTATATCTATATATCAGCTTTCTCCAATAAAAGCACCTTGAACTGCCTTTTTGTAACTTACAGCATTTCACTTTGCACACTGTTTGGAACTGGGCCAGGACTTGAGAAGATAATTTGCTCCTTATAATACTAGAAATAAACATGAGTTGGTGAGAAGAAGACCTTAACTAACATCCATACATCTGCATCTTTTCTTGGGAATATACAATTATTTTTCTAGCATTTCTACTAAGAGTTTAATGTGAGAGTATTGATAATCCTCAGGAATTGAAGGGATGATAGTTCTAAATGAGGAAACATTGTGTGATGTGATTGATATATACATATACATAGCCTTAAGAAATTCATTGTTACATAAGCTTTCATTCTATTTCTTTAGGTGCATGAAAGTTGTAATAGTGTGGTCAAGGTGTAATGAAATGCCCACACAAGCACAGATGATATTTTCAGAGTTAGCCATGTTGTTCCCTGTTGATGGTTTGAAAGCTGTTGTCCCCATACAACAGAATAAAACAAAATCTACAGAAGAGCAATGTCTTTTGGGGCCAACTAAAATGTGCAGAACACTACATGCAAAGCTTTTAAAACTCCACATTACAGTTCTGTGATTAACAGCAACTATTCAACCTGACATTGGGGAGCTAATCAACATACAGAAGAGTGATGAAAACCCATTATCCTGATTCAAGCCACAGTTAATAGAAGTGAACCTTTTGATTAACTGGAATTCCATGGCTTCTATCCATTGAAGTCCCTTTGTTCCAGAATGAGCTCATTGGCAGTGTCCCAAAAAAATCCAAATATGTTTCCATAGCAGCACCTAGTGGTGAGAAATAGTACGAGTAATTGGGAATTAATTGTCTTGTCTCCTCAGATCCCTTGAGATTGCCTCAAAAACAGAAATATTTGGGATGTCAAGGAGAACAGAGTTGTATTCGTGAACCAAAAAAAAGGGGGGGGGACCAATACCATCATCCTGAAGTCAGAAAAAATAGAGTGGGAATATGAATGTCTAGCACTTAAGGAAAGACACATTGGAAATAGAAGACCATCCTCCAAAGGGTCTAGGTTGTGGTTCTCAACCTGTGGGTCCCCAGGTATTTTGGCCTCCGACTCCCAGAAATTCCAGCCAGTTTACCAGCTGTTAGGATTTCTGAGAGTTGAAGGCCAAAACATCTGGGGACCCACAGGTTGAGAACCACTGCTCTGGGTTAAGAAGAAATTGCCACAAGTGATGATTTCTCATTTAGAGCAAATAATGAAAAACTGAAATCTTAGATTGAAGTGCATTAGTATTTCAACAGGAAATACTACAACGGTACAAGGTTATTGATAGGAGCATGCCCATTTTGCTTGATATTTTGAGCAGATAATTTAGATCACTAAATCACTAGGTTTTTAGGGATTGTTGCATGGACCATAGCCCGAATCCTGCTGGTTAGTCCCTAATAGAGTTGATCCATTCAATCAGTTGTCAGATGGTGAGTTGACATCAAGATAAATGCAATGGATTAAACAGGTCCACTGTTGTCAGGAATGACAATAGAACTGAGCCCCACGCCTGCTTTTTCTATGCTGGATTTAAATCTTCTCTGCCATGTTTGTGTTTCTCTTTGAAAGACCTATTGTTTCAGCTTGCTGTCTCTTTTCAGGATCCCTTCACAGCATTCCATCTGGAGAAGTCTGTGGTGAGAAAATACATGAAACCCTTGCTCATTGGAGAGCTTGCAGATGACCAGCCCAGCTTTGAACCCAGCAAAAATGTAAGCCTCCTTTCAGCGCTAGAGTGGAAAAAGAGACTTTGTTGGTGAAATGACCAGCCAAGAGGTCAGAATGTAAAAGTCATGTAAAAAAAAAACCCTGTTTGTCATTGTCATAATTGCAAAATGCCCTAAAACTAGTTTTTGTCATAATTTCAGTTTTTAAAAGTCACACTTTGCTCTCCTCTATTCCCAATTGGAGCTGAAGTCATCACTTCTGTAGTCTTGTCTTTTAAAGTGCTGTATGCTTCTGGTTTGTCGTATAAGATACACTTACCATAGATAGAGCCAGGATAAGGCATACCATTTGAACCATAAGAGATTTCTACTGGCTAGTGATGCCATAAAATAACTACAATGTTACTGTTATATATCTGCATACAAAAAAGCAGAGCAGTGGAGTTGATACATTGACTCCAGCTCCTCTGTCTTGTTGCTTTCTGAGTCAAAGTCTGACTCCTTCATAAATGACAAATTTATATTAATTGGTAATACATCACTTGGAGTTCCATCTGTGTGATGGAATTTATTAAAAGTAAATAAATAAATAATAACAAAGTAATGGCAATAAAATGGCAATAAGGCACTTCATTACCACTATTTAGATTGTTAAAACATAAATATAATTATTTGATTAAGATTTCTGAATGAGAAACTTCCTAAATTCTTGTATGTATGTATGTATGTATGTACACACACACGCACACAAAGAACATAATATAAGTTTGTTATTTTAAATGTGGAATCAGAGTTGGCACTTTTTCACCAATTATATCCAACATTGTTTCCAACTCCATGACTCTGACTTCACCACAGCTCTGCAAAGGGGGGTAAGGTTGTCCCTTCATGAGTTAGCTGTAATATAATGTAACTTGTATTATTGAGAGGAAAGGAGTCACTTACAGGTAGCAAGTTATTTGGAGCTATATACATAGTGAATAGGGGAAAGTGGGTAGTCACACGTCCAGCATATGCTCAATTTTTCCTCAAGGAGAATCAATTCATACTATATACCCATTGCCCTGTATTTTACTTTAACTGTTCTGGTAACATGTAAAGAAATACTAGGACTTGCAGTTTGCCCAGAGGCACCAGAGGAACTCCCTGACTGAGGAGTCTAAATAGCCCTCTTTAAATTAGTAATCCCAGGATTCCATAGGATGCAGCCTTGGCAGTTAAAAGAGAATTGAAGCAATGGTAAAGAGTTACAAAAACACATGCACTTTTTGTTTATAGGGGGATCAGACTAAAGAACCTGATCAAAGATCCTTTCTGCGCACTGGACTCTGTTTTCATCCAATTGTGCAAACATGAACCTAGTTTGGGCATAATACCAGACATGAAAATGGCCCAACACAAATGAGCACACAGAATTTGATCAATTGCATATGTGTAAAGCTAGAGTGGAGGCATTCTCCCTGGCTCCATTTCCACTATTGCATCTTTGTCACAGGTCCCGAGCCCCCCACAACTTTCAAGGCATCTGGAAAGCCTTTAGTTTCATTCAGAGCAGGGCAAGTTGATAGTAATATTGTAATTACCCCACAGAAACAACTTACAGAGGACTTTCGTGAACTGCGTGCTACTGTGGAAAAGATGGGGCTCCTGCAACCTGACCGTCTCTTCTTCTTCTTGTACCTTGTTCACATCGTGGTGCTGGATGTGGTTGCTTGGCTCAACATGTGGTACTTTGGGGCCTCCTTGCTGCCTTTTCTCTTCACTGGATTGCTGCTTGGCACTGTCCAGGTAATGTCTGCCAGTCAGGATGGCACAGGGCAAAGGATGAGGCTGGTGTTGCAATGGGATATCTTCCTTTTCCATTGGGTGGAATTCTTGGATTAAGGCAAGAAGACTACCCATGAATAAACAAAATGTCTGTACATCTCTGTGAAGACAGGCATCTGTTTTGATTTCAATTTTTTGCCTTCCTAGTTTACCACACTTTGCTGCCAAGGACTTTCCTTCTGTTAAACAATGGTGCCCTTTTTCCTATTCTTTCTGTTTGTAAGAAGTAAGGACAAGGGATGTCTTTACTTCCTTCCAATCTTTTTCCAGAATTGACCTTTTCCATCGGGTTTTTGGCTCAGTGTTTTTGCCTATAGCAAAGTTGCCTATAGCATTACCCATCTATTAATATATGAATCACATCCTGGGAGATATGCAATAAAAGTTGAAGCTTTTAAAAATCTGCACTACAAAAATGAATACAGTAATATATTTGAGACAATAATATTAGAAAGCATCATAAAACAACACTGACCACCACTAAAATGTGATGGAAAAGGACAGTGTTGTCCCAAAGCGTAGGAAGGGATGGTCATATAATGTCTTTGGGTGCAAATTTATTTTACTAAGTCCACTTCTAGGATTAATTGACGTTAGGTTCGCCCATCCCTGTCTTTGGCTGGATCCAGACCAGCCCTTGTCCTAGAAGCATCCATGTTAAAATAATACGGATGTGTCTGGGAGCCTGTCCATACCCACCACAGAAAGCGTGCACTTTTTGGGGTGGGTTGTTCAGACGTTCTCTCGGGTCTAGCCCAAGTTAATGTTTGGAGGCCCTCTCCCCCTCCCCCCAAGCCCCCAGACCCTTTTGAAAAGTAAAAAGAACTTATCAGGCCTGCAGTTTCCCCTGGAACAGCTCTCCCATCATGTGCAAATGATGCACCAGGAGAAGGGGGGAGGGGAGGAGTGAGAGCTGCTCTGGAGGAAAAACTGCAGGCCTGGTGAGTTCTTTTTTACTTTTCAAAAGGGCCTGGAGGCTTGTGGGGAGGGGGGTGGGTATTCCCACAGAATACCGGGCTTATTTAGCCTGGTAAACTGTGGGAATGGTGTCTGGACTGTAGTCCAGACACCGGAGATAGTGGATTTATCCCGCACTTTCCAAGAAGGTGTGGAATAAATCCACTATCAAATTAATTCACTACAAACCAGGATTTTCCTGATTTGTAGCGAATTAATGTGGGACTGTCCAGAAAGTTGTCTGGACAGTCCCTCCTTTATTGTGGAAGTTCCCGCAATAAAGGTCCTGTCTGGACGGGCCCTTTCTCTCTACCATCAAGCACTCAATTATAAGTTCCCAGAATTAGAAACTCCTCCTGACTTTTTTTTCTTATGCTGAAACGCACTGTGTACATTTGAATTGTTCTAGCAAGAGTCTTGCTTTTCAGGCCCAAGCTGGTTGGCTTCAGCATGACTTGGGACACCTCTCAGTCTTTGGCAAGTCAAAGTGGAACCATTGGGTTCACAAATTTGTGATTGGACATCTGAAGGTGAGTAATAGCATTGGTGCTGCTCCTTGGGATTTACCTCAAGGCTCATTATTGCTTGGGGTAGGACTTTGCTGCATCTTCTGTGTAGGGGAGAATGCAGGATCTTTCTCTGTTCTTTTGTTTTTTGTAGGGGGCTCCAGCCAGCTGGTGGAATCATTGGCATTTCCAGCACCATGCTAAACCAAACTGCTTCCGCAAGGACCCTGATCTCAACATGCATCCTTTGATTTTTGCCTTGGGAAAAAAGCTCTCTGTGGAGGTACATCTCGTAGAACTTGAGCAATGGGCATAGGGAATGGACAATGTGAAATGCTGTAAGAGTGGGGAATTATGTGGGCATCCAGATGTTATGGAGGGAAAAACCTATCAGCTGTATCCAGTATAACCAATGATGAGGAATGCCAGGAGTTGCAGTTCATCCACTTTTGGTTGTTCTCCACCCCTGCTGTATAGTTCTATGTTTGGTCAGTATCTCTGTGCCTTTGGATATTACAGGGATTAGGTAATGCAGACCTGTTGCTTAAATTCAGGTTTGAGAATAGAGGGAGGACAAGGCTGGCTGTATTACCAAGAAGAAAAGTTAGAATTGTTCTACCAAAGGCAAAGTGATAGTACATATTTATATGTTTGCATTGGTATTATATTGTCTAGGCATGCTGGCATTTTTGTAACAGTTACCATATGTATGGCCAGGTCCTAAAGTATATTTATTTGTATTGTCCAAGGCTTTCATGGCCAGAATCACCAGGTTTCTGTGAGTTTTCCAGGCTATATGGCATTGTTCCAGAAGCATTCTCTCCTGGTGTTTCACCCGCATCTATGGCAGGCATCCTCAGAGGCTGTGAGGACCTCACAACCTTTGAGGATGCCTGCCATAGATGCAAGTGAAACTTCAGGAGAGAATGCTTCTGGAACATGGCCATACATCCCGGAAAACTAACAGCAACCCTATATTTATTTCTTCTTTGCCATTGAGGCAGAAACCTCTGACCTGGAAGCAGAAAATGTTTCTGCAAAGCTTTTGGTTCATGTCTTAATCTTCTTAGGATGTTGCTGAGATTTGAGAGGTTGCTTAATACCATCTGCCTTTTATTTGCTCTAATATTCTCTTTTGAGTTGATGTTGCCAGATAAATTGCCTTTGAAAAGCTTCGCTTCCCTGACTTTGCTCAATTGTTGCTTTGCGGCTTGCCACAGAAATAAAATATGAAGTGCTGGATTAGTTATATTGAACTCTCTTGACTTAAACTGTTATTTCCAGCCAGTGGAATCAGTGTGGTCTTGTTTAAAACTCAACTCAAGCTAGACATAGATCTTTGGGGCTTCAGAGGCAGCACCATAGGAATGTTGTGGTGAAAGACAATGTGAAGAAAGTAAAAACTGGCTTTGTTAGATTTTGTTTTAATTTGTTAAAATGAAAAGGGTAAGTTCCAGATTTTATGGAATTAATGACAATCAATCTCCAGCAGATTCTGAAAAGGCATGTAGTACAGGCAGCGCTGACTTTTGCATTAGACAGAATGAAGCAGTCTACTTGGACAGCAACATGGTGGTGGTGATAAAATGTTGGAGCAGTAAACAATGTCGTTAGTGATGAAATGAGGTTCAACTGCCAATTCAGTTGACTTTCCTACATTGAACAGAAGGCAGTGCTATTTTGCTCTTTGGTGGCAAAATATCTTGAGCTGGCCCAGGCTCCAGTTCTTTATAGTTGCTTGTTTTTGTATTTTTAGAGTTTTGAGTACCTGTAACTATGCTTATGTTGCTCTTTTGGCCACTTCCAAAAAGTGAGGATAGTAGCACCTTCATAAATGGGGGTTTTCCTACAGAGAAATTCTTGGCCACCCCCTGCTTCTTCCTTCTTCACTGCTCTAATTAAACCTGGAATTGTATACATCCCAGCTGATTTGAAAAATGAATGAATATATTGGGAAATGTGTTATTGACTTTCCTGCATTAATCCTGATTTATTTTATTTCCAGGAGCCTTGGTAGGGAGTATTTAAACTCACATCTCTAATGTTTTGTTTAAATCACAAAATTTTCCCTGATCAAAAATCACTACCACCACACTATTTTTTTTAAAAAAAATCTAGTTACTAGAACAGGAATGTTTTTATGCAGGAAATAATTCACTTGTATCTAAGTACAGTAGCTCATTTCAAGCCCATGTTGCTTTGATTACTTAAGTATATGGAGATATTCCAGAAAGGTTGCTTTGTCTAGGACCTTTCCACATTGGGCCCCTGGAGGTGCAGCAGGTTAAACCACTGAGCTGCTGAACTTGCTGACTGAAAGGTTGGTGGTTCAAATCCGGGGAGCAGGGTGAGCTCCCACTGTTAGGCCCAGCTTCTGCCAACCTAGCAGTTCAAAAACATGCAAATGTGAGTAGATCGATAGGTACAGCTTATGCAGGAAGGTAATGGTGCTTCATGCAGTCATGCTGGCCACATGACCTTGGAGGAGTCTACAAACAACACTGGCTCTTCGGCTTAGAAATGGAGATGAGCACCATCTCCATTGAAAGTTAGACACGACTAGACTTTACCTTTACTTTACCCTTCCACACAGCCATATAACCCAGAATATCAAGGCAGAAAATACTACAATATCTGCTTTGGACTGTGTTATCTGAGTCCTCACTGCCATGTATTCCAGTTCAAAGCAGAACATGTGGTGTTTTATTCAGCTGTGTGGAAGGGGCCTCGGGCATTCATTTCATAAATTAAAACCACTTCCTTGCCAAGATGGAAACTTAATAGCAGAGCCAGATGGGTTTTTGGTCATTGCCTTATTTCCCACTAAGTCTCTTAATGTGGAGACTGGAAAAGTGGTTTCTTTTCCCAGACAGTGTGACTGTCTGATGGAGTCTGGGAACTATAGTCTCAAAAAGCAGCATTTTCAAAATCTGGGTTTTTTTCAACCACTTATAAAACAACTGTTTTGCAATTCATGTCCCTCTTCCTTTGAATAATCAGAAGGTTTCTTGAATGAGCAATTATCCTTTGGATAAGAATGCCCTCAAGTCCTCATTTGCTTAATTTTTAATGGCACAAGTAGAGTGTGCCTGTTAGCTAATGAGAAATTATAGAAATTGAAGATTCTTCAGAGGGGCAGCCTGTGAAAGCCTTGCCTCGGGTTTAGCTGAGAAGCATTAGACTCCCTCTCTTTGTTTCAAAATTACCAAGCATTTTTCCTCTTTCACTCTCAAACATGCTTGTAGATCTACATACACACGTTGCCACTATTAAACTTCCAGAACCACCTAATTCCTCTCCTAATCATAAACAGGTGCAGGCACCATTGTGGAGGGGTCAATTCTCTGCTTCTTGTATTTTTCCAAGAAGACAAAAAAACACCCTCCAAAAGTAATCAAATGTTGACTTTTGTAATGAGCCTGTGCAACCTATTTGAAGGGAAATTGCCTCTCCCAAAGGCTTCCTGAGAGAGAATTCACTCAGTTTTCTTGTGAAAGGCGGTGGTCCAAGAGGCCTGGAGATATTGGTGGTCTTAAAAGTAGCCTTGGTGGCTTCACTTGACACATCGCTACATGAAGAGAGCATTTCAATTTCTGACCATTCTCAGCCAGCAAGGCTTTTGTTAGGCATGATTGGAGTTGTAGTCTCTATTGTGCTGAGTTGGGTAAGTTACATAACAATATATAAAACGTTTATCTATACAACCCAAGACCTCTCTGCCTTTCTAGCTTTCTTTCATACTGCTCTCATTATTTTATTGACTCTCAGAAAGTTGATGGTTCTGGATGATCAGGACCCAAATAGATGTTTCATTGAGCATTTCTAGAATTAATGATTTCAGCCAGATCGCTTTTGATCTGCATGGATTGATTTCACTTTGCCTGTATCGATTTTTGTGACCACATTGTGTTTGCCATTGTTTTTTCTTTCAACTGCTTTCATTAAAAACACTATTTCTTCCTGTGACAAGAAAGCATGGCAAGAAATGGAAAAGCTGAAGAATGCAAGTGAGAGAAACAAAGATATGGCAATAAATCTAAAGAAGCTGGGGGGGAGGGGGGTTCGAAATCTGAGAGCAAAATTTGACCAGACTTGAACCCAGCCAGATCTCTAGAAGGAATGTGGTTACTCCTGTCTTGTAAGTTGCCACTGTTGGCTGCCCCCTTGTTCTCTCTCCAAACCCAGGAACACTTTTTTTTCCTGGAGCCTTGGCAGGGTATTTTTACTCCCACGACTCTCCTCAGTGGGAAACAGAAATGTAGGGTTACTTCAATGGCAGCTCCTCAAATCCTCCAGTCAACATGGCCACTGGCCAGGCTGGCCAAGGGGTTCTGGGATTCGGGGAGTCATTCAAAACGTAACTTTCCCAAACTATCCTGAAATGATACATATCATTTCCACTTAGGAGAAATGCACAGGTGACATAGGGGAATATTGTTTTATGGTGAACAAGGAGATGACTTGACTAATTTTTTATTCAAGGCTGGTATCTGGTTAATTGACAAGTCTCAAAGTGAGCTGGATTAGAGTTCATGGGATCAGTCACTGGAATTAAAGTTCTCTGCTGTCCCCTGCTGGAAAAAAATATTTAGGCATTGCATGTATTTGAATTTTTAAAGAGGCTAAGTTGGCTGAAAGATGATGATGACGACAACAATGATGATGATGATGGTCATCATCATCTTTATTTATATCCCACTTTTCTCCTTTTTGGGACCTAAAGCGGCTTACAACATATTAAAAACATGTAAACAACAATCCAAATACATCAATATTAAGGATAAAACATCATAAAATAAGCAATTTAAAACAACAATAATATTAATTCACATTCTTGTGGCATCATGTCAGGTCATATTGCACTTTGTTCCAGTCCATAGCATTATGATGTTTCTTATCACTCCAGATTAGTTTACTTCGCTAAAGGCCTTCTAAACATGGAAGATCATTGAAAACGAAGAGGATGTAGCTTCTAAAACATACAGGCATAGCAGGAGATAATGCTGAGATTGTGTTTCTCTTTTGCTCTGATTGAGAATACACAAACTGGTCTGAGCTAGTGTCATTCAAGTATGGGCACAAGAAAGATATTTTGAAGAACAACACTCAGATGGCAGGAAATGTGTCGATATGCTTCAGTTGATGTGGAGTAGCCCTCTGTTTGAGGAGAGCCCTGTTGACTTACTGTGGTTCCTCATCTCTCTCACACACAGCTTGGTATAAAGAAAAAGAAATTTATGCCTTACAACCATCAGCACAAATACTTTTTTATCCGTGAGTATTGCCTCTTTTTCCAATGCCAAATATTGTTTTATAAATTAATTTCACACCCCCCCCCAAAAAAGCTCATAGATTTTAGTTGCTCATATTCTATCCAGTTTGTGAGATATGTGTATATACTTATATAGTACATATAGTTGTGTGTGTGCGTGCAGGTTTTTGTTTTTTGTTTGTTTTTCTTTGCCTCTCTTCCTAATGGCGATAGTTGCCATAGATCAAGGACTCTTTCACAGTTAGAGCCCTCTGGTGCCACTTTTCCTGCCATGGTTTTGTCCTGTGGAATCCTGTAACCTGTGATATAGAGAGAATTTAATATTTTTAGCCAGTGAGCTCTAATGCCTATTTTCAAGAACTGCTTATATGGGTTATTGAAACAGGAAGGTATTCTATGCTGTTTCAACATCTTCTATGGCTAGTTGTGTTCATCCATTTTGTTCATAGTCAAATGGATGCCTGCCTGTATCCCATCATGATTAATTATTGCCCAGGCAATGGAGGGACGATTATCTTGTTCTCTTCTTGTGCCGAATGCCTCAGGTAACAGCTGGGGAACAGATCGCCGGTCAGTAGAGACAAGACTGAGCCAGGTCAACCCAGTAGTCTGATTTGGCCAAACCCTGCTTCTATGGGATATCAGTTGCAGGGTGAAGTTCTCTTAGAAGTTCCATGAAACAGATATGAGCAAAGAAGAAGGGAGGCCTTCTTTTCTGTTGAAGGAGGAATGGAGACTGACTCTTGGAAAGCAAATTGGACTGTTTGTCAAGGAATCTCCAAAAAGATCTGATAATTTTGAGGCACTTGAGCCTACCCTCAGATGTCATCTGGTCTCCTTTCCCCATTGTCTGTGGAGAGAGGGGGGGGGGGGTGAGAATAACTGCACAGAGAGAGGGATTGTGCTGGCTTCTCCCCTCTCTTGCCTTCTATAGTCCAGTAGTGCCCTTTAAGGCTGCAGCACAGTTCCTCTCTCCCCTCCACGTCTATCTCAGAAAGGATTTGACTTGGAGTAAGGAAATAAGCTTTGCCCACAGTGATTCAGTTAAGCAGCAAAATTTAGCTCATGAATACCCACGAGTAGGGGTGAGCTCCTGACTGTTAGCTCTAGCTTCTGCCAACCTAGTGGTTCGAAAGCATGCAATGTGAGTAGATCGATAGGTACCACCTTGGCAGGAAGGTAAAAGGGCATCCCACACAGATATGCAGACATGCCAGCAACACCATCAGAGATGTCTATGGACAATAGACTCCTCAACATGGAAAAATGTAACAAGAGCACATCCCCATGGCCAGAGTTGGGCATTGCTTCCAGATGCCAAAGATGGAAAAAAGGGAAAGGGTTTTACCTTTTTTTGTTTTGTATATCATTGTTCACTATTGTGTAAAAGCTATTGAATGTTTGCCTCATATGTGTATTGTAATCTGCTCTGTGTCCCTCCAGGGAGATAAAGCAGAATATAAACAAAGTGCATTATTATTATTATTATTATTATTATTATTATTATTATTATTATTATCTGTCCCTGACTTATTGTGTGTTTATACAGTAGAACTGATGCAGTTTGACACTACTTTAACTGCCATGACTCAATGTTATGGGAAAATGTGAGTTGTAGTTTTACAATGTGCTTAGCCCTCTCTGCTCTTGAGTGGGTTTAGTTATGGATGTGTCTTGTATTTTTCCCTAGTTGGACCACCAGCTCTGGTGCCTTTCTACCTCCAGTGGTATGTCTTCTACTTTGCTGTCCAGCGCAAGCAGTGGGCGGTGAGTAACATGCTTGAACTTGGCTTTTCCTGACATCAAGGGGAAGGATTGCCTTCCTTAGAGCCAGCAGCAAAATGTGTTCCCCTTATATTATTAAGTTTATTCATGTCAGTTTTTTCCTGCTTGCCCCCGAGCACTGGAATTTGAGGCACCTTACAAATTAAAATAGATTCAAAATAGATTTGAAAACAGATAGAAGATTTTCATAAATGTAATTAAATTGTCAGTTATCCTTAACAAAATTACAACATGCATTAACAAGAAAAAAGAAAGTAGCAATTTGCATCAGACACGTGTCTCCCTCCGCCCCACCCCCACCGCCCTAAAGCTTCATGCACTACGTTGGACGGTTCCCAAACTTCCCCGCAGGCTTTCACATTTCATACCTTGTCTTTGAAGATGAGCAAAAATAATTATTTATAAGTGGTAGAGTTAGTTTAGAAGCTCACAATGAGAGCCTTTTGTAACCTGTACCCATTATTTAAAGTCAAATGTACTGTCCTGCTTTCAACACACACTTCCCTTCTTTTCCACACTGTTTGGAACTGCAAAGTAATACTTTAAACTTTAAACTAAACTGGAAATGAAGGCTTAAGACCCTTTGTTAGCGCTTATGTTACTTCCCTGCTCCTCCAGAGTTGTCAATAGGCTTTTCGCAGTTGAAAGCAATGCATTGGTTTTGTGCCTTCTGCGTCTTGAAATTATTTCAGACTTAGGGCATACCTGCCATGGTTTTTTGGGGCAAGGGTAGGGGCAAGACTTGTTCAAATTGGGTTTGCTTTTATCTTCATCTGAAGCTGAGAGTGTATAGCCAAGGAGGAATTTGAACCCTGGCTCTCAAAGCATGTTCTAAAATTCAAGCCACTGTCCCCCTCAAAATTAGCTGTAGACCATGTTTCTGTTTCATTATCTACTCCAAAACTCAGCAAAGCTTGATAGCTGGTACAGAGTGTTTGTATGTGTGTATACACACACATACACAGCACAGCCCCTTTTTACCTTGCTACAGAATAAGCACCTCAGGATTTAGTTCCCAATCCATGCTACTCTTGCTATGCATTTGCATCCTCTACAAACAATAGCTGTATGAATGGGTACTATTTTACTTCTTTTTTCTGTCTTGTTTGACTGTTTCCCATACTCCTCAGCCTGTTAATCACTAAGACACACACATGCCTGGAGTATGGGTTCTCCTGCAAAATGGCTCTAAATATATACACCTACTGTGATTATGGCCAGGCAGCATAGTTATAGCACGACCTAATCACAAGAAGAATATGAAATTCAGCTTCTGTACTCCAGACAAGGGATAGCGTGTGTATTGGGGATTAAACAGGAAATAGAGATTAAAGAGGATTAAGTCAGCTTGGTTGCCCTAGGATCACAAGAACTTGACCTACTTTAAGTCTGGTTAAATGTACCCTTGGTCTGGTTAAATGTACCCTTTTCTAAACTTGTGCTTTCATCCTAAAATTGGACTTAAACATATACATTGAGGCTGCAGCTGAATGTTAAACTTAAACTAGAGTTAGCAAGAGAAGGTTATGCAGTTTAAGTCCTTGTGAGGAATATAGATATAAATGGATGTGAATGTGTACACCTGAGTGGGGCTTATATTTTTGTAGGGGCACAGGTATGGACTGCTAGGTGGGCTTTAAAGTGCATGCCCTACCTGTATTTAATAATACTGTCTTCATAACGTTTCTCTTCTATTTTCTGGCAGGACCTCGCCTGGATGGTTACTTTCTATATCCGGTTCTTTCTAACATTTTCATTTTTTCTGAATCTGAAGGGCCTTATTGGGCTTTTTCTCCTGGTCAGGTTAGTTTTTACATTTCAATGTATTTTAATCATTTGGGGTTATCAGATAATGGCCCTTAGACACGATTCCATGCATATGAATGATTATGGGTACACATTCACACACGCGCGCGCAAACAGTGTTATATCCAGAGTTCTGCCCAGTGTTTAGAAAAGTTACTTAGTTGATCTGCAATTCCCAGAATGTCCCAAGTAGTATGATCTGGTCCTGTCTGTAGTTACATGTGAAGATTTCATTTTACTGTAAAAATTATAGATAAAACCATGGCTAAGATGGATTTGGCTCATAGGTAGATATGCTTCTATGCAATGGATACACCAAGAAGTTCTGTGCATCCCTAGGATCAAAACAATATAAATCTCTCTTTCTGTGCCACTTATCTGCCATAATGATGTGAATTTTGTTAGTAGCATATTAATCTGAAGTAGCTACTGCTCTCTGAGTCTTCATAATCCACAATACAGATTAAGACAGTCTTTCTGCCCCCTTCCATACTGCCACCATTTCATTCCTCAATTTGCATCAAAAACAGGCAAACATTTTCTTAAAACATCATTTTGATGTTTTAAGGATGGAAAAATACTTGGAGATTTTCCCACCCTCAGTATCATTTTTCACATTTCTAGGGACTTGTGAAAGGTTTGTCACAAAATGTGAAACCACATATATTTAGCACTATATGTTATTTTATTTGCAAAATATATTATATTATATATGCAAATGTTTTTGTACCAAACACTACAATTTTTGATTAAATTAAGAAAAGGATTGTGTATTTTTTTAAAAAATCAAAATGTGCAAAAACGCAATACTACCCAACATGAGAAAACATTTGAACCTATTCATGTTTATGAGAATGAAATACTGTATTTCACTGTGTAATAGTTGCACCATGTTGAAAACAATGAAATGTTTTCCCCCCACTTTAGCTGTAAATTCTATCCATAAAACACAATAAAAAAACTATCAAAAATGGTTGCACCATGTAATAGTAACATACCCCTTTTGAGCCCCCCCCCCCCCAATGGCATTTTGAAGTCCTAAGCGCCTGTCTCCTTGAATTCCTGTAGCTGGATTTCTTTTTCACTGCATAATAGTTGCACTTCCTTCCCCCCCCCCCCACCGCCCCCGATCCCAAAAGGGATTAAAAGCATGACTATTATGTGGTGAAATATAGTAGGTTATATTTCACGTTCCTATGGCACACTAACAATCACAAAAGATTATTATGGTAAAATTGTCTTCACTGAGTAATTATGATTAAATTCCCCTATAATCCTTTTCCTGGTAGCAGATACATACGTTTTAAAATAGTTATTAAGTGAATGTGGATCCAGCCGTTCTGCTAATGAATTCAATGCAGTGTACACGACTTTTCTTCTCCCTGCTTTGCCCTGTGTAGTCGGCCAGGTTGAGAGGAAGTGACTGGGCCAAGGTTATCCAATGGGTTACTGGCTCAGTGAATGTATAGAATCATAAAGTTGGAAGAGACCATAAGGACCATGCTGTCCAGCTCTGTACCATGCAGGGACACTTGATCAAACCAATCCTGACAGATAGCTATCCAGCCTCTGATTAAAAACCTCCAGAGAGGAGATTTCACTGGACTGCAAGGAAACATATTTCACACAAAACAGCTCGTATTGTTAGAAAGTTCTTCCTAATGTTTAGGTGAAATCTCTCTCCCTGCAATTTGCACCTATTATGTCTCTAGAACAGCAAAAAACTAAAAAAAAAAACATGTCCTCCTCTTCAGTATAACATTATTTCGAACATTTAAACATGGTTATCATGTCTCCTGTCATCCTTCTTTTCTCAACTCCCTAAACCACTCCTCATTGGGCTTGGCTTTGAGATCTTTTTCCATTTTGGTCAACCCTCTTTAGATGTATACTAGCTTTTTAGTATTGTCATACCCAGAACTGGACACAGTCTTCGAGGTAAGGGCTGACCAATGTAGAACAGAGTAAGATTATTATTCTCCTCCATCTAGACAGCATTTTAGAACCACATTGGGTTTTTTAACTGCTGCATTGCTTTGTTAACACTTATTCAGCTTGGGTCAACTGTGATGTGGCAGCTAAATTGAACCAATGAACATTCATCTCCCAAGTCTCCATTCAATATTTCTTCAACACACCTTTTCAGTTTGTTCCTTTTCTTTTGCCTAATGGCATTGAATAATGGTATTCTAATTATGTAGCTCTCCTGGCCTCTTTCAAAACTGCTTTGATTAAATGGTGAATAAATTTCCCATAGATTTTTGGAAGAGTAAAAATGTATTCATTAATTTATTTGTTCTGTGCAGGGTCATTGAAAGTCACTGGTTTGTCTGGGTGACCCAAATGAACCACATCCCGATGAATATTGATTACGACCAAAATGTGGACTGGGTATCAACTCAGGTGAGTTACATACCACACATCTCCCACTAGCTAGGATTATGAATAAGAGCCTTGAAAGCAAAAAAAAAGCAATCATGACAATGTCTAGCATCATGAAGGGCTAGAGAAAATCTTGGCTGAGTGAAAGGGATGGCTATCACTGTGTGTATAGCATTTTTTAAGAACACTTGGCTCTCCAAATGTCTTGGACTTTTGAGTTCCCAAAACTCCAGCCAAAATGACCCCTGAGCATGAGGTCATGAGAGCTGTAGCTTCAAACATCTGGAGGCTCAAAGTGTAAATTGTCAAGCCACCAAGAAATATCTCATACTGCCATTCTGCCATTAAAACAAAATCCATGCTCATTCTTCTGCGTAGTCCAGCTGAGAAGATGCATAGGAAATCCAATTAGTTAGAAGTCAAGTCACAATATTGTGATTATATCAGAAGTTCCCATGGAGCTTTTTGCATCTATTCTACAGCGCTGTTATTTTGTATCTTCTGTCTCCATGATGAAAGTTAGAGGTTTGGGAATGACACCCATTAATAGAAATGTCCATCTACAAGTGAAGTTGCAATATCCTAATGTAGTGATTTATTTATTTCACTCCAGCTCCAGGCAACATGCAATGTAGATCAGTCCCTATTCAATGACTGGTTCAGCGGGCACCTCAACTTTCAGATTGAGCATCAGTGAGTAAACCATTTCATTTTGAGGAATAAGAAGACTTCTTGGGGATATTCCAGCTCAAGGATTCTCTCAGTTGTGAGGCCTAGAATCAGAATGGAAATTATTTATTTCCTCAGGAGAATGGGTTTGACAGGGGAAGCTACATTTCATGCTGTAGTAAGTGACCTTGAAAGATGCTGGGAAAAAGGGGTACCAGATGACTCAAGAGGCTGACATTTTCATGGTATGGAGGTTGCACAGTCATGAGCACAATTGACCTCTTGAGGTCTTGAAATCGATCAGTAAGGTGACCTACAGAAATACCTATCCCTTCTGTGTTAGATTGAGTTGCACTCCCTCTGAATATTCAAATTCACAGTTTGGGATTGCTCTTACCTCACCCTTCAACGCTGAGATTGATTGAAATCTTCCAGCAGACCAAGAAAAATATACCAGTTCTTTAATCTTTGGCCATGCAATTGATCTGAAAAGAGGTTGCCAGGTTAAGAAACATGAGAATCCCTTCAGCAGGCTTTATAGTCAGTTATTTTGTGAGTCTGCTGAAAGAGGAAGAGGGTACAGGAGCTCTTGGAATCAAGGCACACGATCCTACAACCTATGACTTTTCCCCCACAGCCTCTTCCCTACTATGCCCCGGCACAATTATTGGAAAGTTGCCCCCTTGGTGAAATCGATATGTGGAAAATATGGCATCGAGTACCAGTCTAAGCCCTTGCTGAAAGCCTTTGCAGACATTGTATAGTAAGTATCCAAGAAGTTGAGGTGGCCCATGTGGGAAGATCCATCAAATTGACATCTCAAGCTATTGGGGGATGGTGGTAATGTAGAAATTTTTTGTCTCTAGTCCTTCACATGCATTGGACTGCACTTCCATGGTGATGATAGGCACTGTGAGGCTTGTAGTCCAAAATATATGGTGCGTTGAAGTCTACCTATCCTTGCACTAGCCACGGCTTCTAATAGTCCCAATGATAGTTGGGAAGAATCATCTGCAGGAAAGAAAACCTTTGTAAATGTTAAGGCCACCTAACCTGATTGTAGTCTTTACAGAGATCATTAAAATTAAGGACAGTGTGCACTAAGTTTTAAGTGTACTGTACTTCCTCTGACATCTTAGCCCAAAGACTTCAAACTCTGCATTCAGAAAACATTGTACAAACCCAGTTGAATTCATTTCAACAAATGGATGTTTAAGATACCCTTCTGAATGTAGTTGTAGAGTTCTTGAAGATTTTTCTTAGTTTTGATGATGGATGGCACAGAAGAATCAATATAAGAGATCTATCTTCATTTAAAAGACACAGGATATATACAAGTATCCCTGATCTGAATAAGGAAGGTTGTGTGGACTAAAATATTTTGGGCCCTCTGAGTTCTGTGGTTGACTCACAAAACTATCCTTTGTGATGGATAATAGACACTAGTGTGAACTGAATCTTACGGGGGAAAGTGCACCAAAATAGAATGAATTGATTGATTGGTTTAGAGTTCTTGTCAGTCAGAGCATCTTACAAACTGCCAATTTGACAGCATGTAAAAATATTCCTTTATTTGAGTGATAACACTCAGAATCTCCCAGCCAGTTAACTTTTTTGTTGGAAAAGTGAATTTTTCCATGCGCTGCACCAAGATTGACATGCAAGCTGTGGGGTGGATCCTTGTCTTCTTGCAAATCACTCACTATGTGATACTTGTATTCAAGTAATACACTTGTGGGTATGAATCAGTCATATAACTCCCTATGAGATGGTCCTGACCTGTCCTTAGGTTTTCCATGTTCTCCTCTCTGCCTCCCAACAGCTGTTCTATTTCAGGCTATCAAGATTAGTTCTAACCTGAATCTGCTTATAGATGGATGAGAATATTTTCAAAATTCCTTGTTCCAATAGGATTCCCCCCCCCCCTGTACTTTTGGTTTTTTGCATGTTTCCTGAGCTACTCAATCCTGTTTCTTCCTCTCATTCCAGCTCGCTGAAGGATTCAGGGGAGCTGTGGCTGGATGCCTACCTGAATAAATAAGAAGCTTGCGGTGTCGTCTGGGGAGGGTGGTGTAGATCTCCGCATCCTTGCTGCCTCCTGCAAGTCAAGAGAACAAGGCCCTGCTTTAACTGGAGTGGGCAGCTGGGAGAGCCAAATCCTGAGTGTAATATTTTGAGGTGATGTTTTCCTCCCCCATCCTTTTACTTCAGCAAAGCCTCCTTTCTCCTTTTGAAGAAGATAACAGAGATGTCCTTTTAGAAACTCACATCCACAAAAATGAAGGACTCCAAGGCCAGGAAGCAAGGCCAACAAATTTCCCCGGTGCCATTTCACTGAACTTTGTATGCTGAAGGTGAATGTGGATGTGGAAATCACTAAGATTTTTGCTGCCTTGATGTCCATTTGGTTTTGCTCCCTCCCAGAGTAAAATGAACAAAGATATGGGGAAAATGTGATGAATGAGGCAGAGAGGATGAGAAAAAAATTGTGCAGATGATTATAAAGAGACCTACTGGTTGAGAATATGGGATTTTACATGGCAGGGGTTGGACCAGATAGTACTTGTGGTAACTTTCAACTATATGATTGTATCAGAGTAGGGTGTTTGGATTTGGAGAAAGGTAGGAAGGAGGCTACAAAAGCCAAATTCAGTGGATAGCCTTATGAGAACTGCCAAATTAAATAAGCATGAGTCCTTAAAGAGTGGCCTTACCCTTGTCATTGGGGGAGGAATTTGCAGTTTTTGCTGTGAAAATTATTATATTCCTGGTTATATTTCCTATGTAAACAAAATGTGCCAGAGTTATTGATGTGCCAACATGGGACCACTGTTGACAATAAAGAATGTTAAATGATGGACTAATGGTTGGTCATATCCACAGAAGGAAATTGGTATTCTGCTACTAATATATCTTCAGGTGATCCAGAGAAGAACCAAATTCTTTCTCTGACAGAATTGCACTCTTTATTACTCTATAATTCAAAGACTGGGGCTCTTTCTGTATCACACAACTGCATTGCATTAATTGTGTTGTACAAACAGGACTACATTTCTTGACCATATGCTCCTCAAGGACAGGTTGTTCCCAGGTGAACTGAAGGTACATCTGTGTAGGAATTTTCAGTTTGGACAGCATAAGGTGGCTGTTCCTTACATGTTTCCTTTGAGATATTTAGGACTATAAATCTGCTCATCGTTCATGATTGACTGGAGCCAAAAAAAGTTGATCTCCAAAATGTCAGCAGTTACTAGAATTGGTTGTACCGATCCAACTTTCATACAGTAGCACTTATTTCACATGCCAGTAAGGTAATGCTCAAGATCATGCAAAGGCTATTCTAAAGCTGTTGACTGTGTAGATCAGGGGTGCTCAAACTTTTTAAACAGAGGGCCAGGTCACAGTCCCTCAAACTGTTGGAGGGCAGGATTACAATTTGAAAAAAAAATGAATGAATTCCTATGCACACTGCACATATCTAATTTGTAGTGCAAAAAACACTTAAAAACAATACAATAATTAACATGAAGAACAAATTTAACAAATATAAACTTATTGGTATTTCAATGGGAAGTGTGGGCCTGCTTTTGACTGATGAGATAGGATTGTTGTTGTTGTTGTTGTTGTTGTTGTTGTTGTATTTCAGACACCTTGGGCCTTAGTTTGAGGACCCCTGGTGTAGATCATAATAAATTGTGGCATGTTCTTGGTGGTGTGGGGATACCAAGTCACCTTGTCTGTCTCCTGAGGAATCTGTATAACAACCAAGTAGCAACAATAAGAACAGACCACAGAACAACAGAGAGGTTCAAGATTGGGAAGAGCGTACAGTCGGACTGTATACTCTCACCCTGCCTATTCAACTTGTATACAGAACACATCATGCGACATGCGGGGCTTGATGACACCAAGGCTGGAGTTAAAATTGCTGGACAAAATATGAACTACCTTAGATGTGCAGATGATACCACTTTGATGTCTGAAAGTGAGGAGGAACTGAGGAGCCTTATCACCAAGGTGAAAGAAGTAAGTTCAAAAGCTGGGTTGCAGTTAAACATAAAAATACCCAAGATTATGGCAACCAGACTGATTGATAGAGGGAGAAAACATGGAGGCAGTAACAGACTTTGTTTTTCTAGGTGCAAAGATTACTGCAAATGTAGACTGCAGTCAGGTAATCAGAAGACTTTTACTTCTTTGGAGGAGAGCAATGACCAATTTCGATAAAGTAGTGAAGAGTAGAGACATCACACTGGCAATGAAGGTCAGCATAGTTAAAGCAATGGTATTCCCTGTAGTAACCTACGGATGTGAGAGCTGGACCACAGGGAAGGCTGAGCAAGAAAAGATAGACAATTTAACTGTTGTGTTGAAGGAAAATTCTGAGAGTGCCTTGGACCACAAGAAAATCCAACCAGGCCATACTCCAGAAAATAATGCCCGGCTGCTCATTGGAGGGAAGGATATTAGACGCAAATATGAAGTGCTTTGGCCACATAATGAGAAGACAGGAAAGCTTGGAGAAGAGAATGATGCTGAGGAAAATGGAAGGAAAAGGAAGAGATGCTGACCAAGGACAAGATGGATGGAAGGTACCCCTGAAGTGACCGGCTTGACTCTGAAGGAGCTGGGGTGGTGACAGCCGACAGGGAGCTCTGGCATGTTCTGGTCCATGAGGTCACAAAGAGTCAGAAGTGACTGAATGAATAAACAACAACTAGATTGGAGAAATATTATTTCTATACCAAGAGGAAAAACTAATTTTAAGGCTTCACAAATTCATTTGCTTCAAATATCTCTTTGAAATGTGAATCATGAGGTCTTGCAGGCATTGGATTACAAATTCTCATCTGTACTAAGTAGCATGCATAAAGCTGAGAAATGCTGGTGAGTGTTACAGTCCAACAATATCTGAAGGATCATATGCTTCCCATCCCTATTTTATTCTCTTTTAACAATGGGAAATTGTCACTTGGAGTTGTCTTTGCCCTCTATGGCTCTCTTAGCTTCTCAGGCATGCAAATGCCTTCTACATCATGAAACTGACCTAAGAGACATTGGATCAGTGTGCCATTCTTGTGAATTGACTTTACTGCCTGAGACCAATCCTCTGGATCCTTTTTTGTTCCTACATAAAAGTGCATTTTATATTTTCCAAGTCCCCATGAAAGCAAAAAATAGCCCTGCCTCAAAATCTGAGTTGCCTGATGCTTCAACAGGTAGGAATCTGATTATGTGGATTGCAAAGTGCCATGGAAATTTAGTTATGCTGAAAGTGTTAAAATGGGAATCCTTAGTCTCTCACTGCTGTTCTCACTCTTTTGGATTCTGGACAGAAGAGGGCGCCTTCTGACAGGCAGTCAAGGCAAACCACTTCTTAGGCAAGTATCCATTGACTAATAAAGTCCTAAGATATTGATGGGGCTGCTAGAAGTCAACAGGGGAGTTGAAGGTGTGTGCATACTTGTGTGCATGCACATCCACATGGCTGTAATAATCCAACTAGCCGACAGCATCTGTAAGAACACAGCCATTTAACTAAGCCAGTACATTTCACATTCCAATTATCTCTTGTATAACATGGATCTAACATGTTATACAAGGGGGTGTTGTGCCACTTTATGCTCTTTGATAGTGCCAATGCAAGACACAAGACCTGGATACCAAATAAAGTGAGTGTGCACCGTGGGTGGGGGGAGAGAATGGTGTTTCAAAGAAAATGAAATACTCCCAAACATCTTTTCTTTAACATGCATCTTCTTTCCTTCTGAATACTGATTCTGGAATCTCTTAATTCATGCATCGACTATATCAGTCCCCATTCATTCTGAAATATGTGTCCTCTTCGCACCTGTTGCAATCTGCAAACAAGCCTGATAAGAGTTTCCAAGTGAAGCCAAATTGCACAAGGTGACAAGCTAGTTTTCTTACATTTTTGACTAATAACAGTAGGGTGTGCATACAGGTGGGGACAGATTTATGCACAGACTAAGTAAACTGCAGCTTGGGGAGCTGATTAGAAAAGAACTAAATGCAAGAGAAAAGATCTAAACATTTTAAAAATGGTTAGAATACACTTATTTTTTAATAATGCCATGGAATCTCTGAAATGTGACATACTTCAGAGAATGGCTGAATAAGACATGATTTGGCCTCTGGTTGTTGATGGGCTGAAAGTACTACCAAGCCTAGTTAGCATAGCTAAAGATGCAAAGGACTGAGAGTTGGCAGTATCCAACAGTATCTGGAGGCCTACATTGTGCTTAGCTCTGGAAACCTACTAGATGATGTTAACACTCAGTGCAAGCAAAAGGCAATAACTTAATAAATCTGACCAAGAGAACTCTGTGACAAGTTCAACATTAGTCAGAGTTGACCAGAAAAGTATGTAATAATTAGTAATTTAGTCTGGCCATGCATATTTCTGTATATATTAATCAAGATCAGGACCACAATGCTGATAAAGAGTAATGAATCCTTTAGACCAGTGTTTCTCAACCTGGGGGTCGGGACCCCTGGAGGGGTCGCAAGGGGGTGTCAGTGGGGTCGCCAAAGACCATCAGAAAACACAGTATTTTCTCTTGGTCATGGGGGTTCTGTGTGGGAAGTTTGGCTCAATTCTATCATTGGTGGGGTTCAAGGGGCTTTTTGATCGTAGGTGAACTATAAATCCCAGAAACTATAACTCCCAAATTTCAAGGTCTAATTTCCCAAACTCCAGCAGTGTTCACATTTGGGCATATTGAGTATTAGTGCCACGTTTGGTCCAGATCCATCATTATTTGAAGCCACAGTACTCTCTGGATGTAGGTGAACTACAACTCCCAAAACTCAAGATCAATATCCATCAAACCTTCCAATATTTTCTGTTGGATATGGGAGTTCTGTGTGCCAAGTTTGGTTCAATTCCATCGTTGGTGGAGTTCAGAATGCTCTTTGATTGTAGGTGAACTATAAATCCCAGCAACTACATCTCCCAAATTACAAAATCAATCCCCCCCCCCCCAACCCCATTGGTATTCAAATTTGGGCGTATTGGGTATTTGTGCCTAATTTAGCCCAGTGTATAAAATACATCCTGCACATCAGATATTTACATTATGATTCATAACAGTAGGCAAATTCCAGTTATGAAGTAGCAACGGGGGGAAAAAGTGTTTGGGGGTCACCACAATATGAGGAACTGTATTAAGGGGTCATGGCATTAGGAAGGTTGAGAAACACTGCTTTAGACCCATACTTGTTTTCCCAATGGATGTCCTTTTGTTATTCTCCTTGATACGTAGTAATCCTGCATGCAGGCTCTTATTCATAAAAGTGTGAAGAAATACCCAGGAGCAGCTTTTTCAGTGGGAAAACTGCACTGGAGGAGGAAATAATTACCCATCCAACCAAGAGTTTTATCTGGGCCACCACTCTGTCAAAATATATTTCAGGAACTCTTATTGCTACCATGTTGTCAAGCATTGAAGTTAGAGAGTAGAGGGAAACACCCTTCCATATAAATCTACCTGCAGCCTAACCTGCTGGATGTGCTTAATTTAAAAAGGGGGTGTGACCGGTGTTAAAAGAATATTTTGTATTTATATATAAAGATCTACCTTCAGAGATTTTTTAAAATGAAATCCTGAAGTTTTCATTAAAGGTTCGAGTGCTAAATAAAGAATAGAAGAAGACGAAGAAGAAGAAGACCAACAACAACAACTTTATTTCTCTACCATGCCTCCATCTCCCCGAGGGGACTTGGGGCGGCTTACATGGGGCCAAGCCCAAGGCAACATACAATTAAAAACAGAACAGTAACATACTAAAATAGCATAAAACAGTTTAAACAATAATAAACAAGCATCAAAAGCAA